GTTTATACTAAATATGCTTTCACACTAAGGATGCTTCATAATACAAAGCATTTTGTGTTAGATTGATCTGTCTGTGTAGCCTGAGGAGTAGCTTGAGCAGAATTGGCTTGAGTAGCCTGAGCAAGCTGAGAAGGCTCTGACAGACTACAAATCAATCTACTAGTCACTGTATTACAAGAAATTTCTTACTTAATAGCAGCTTCTTCAAAATTCATTAGATGGAGTTTCTTTTCCAGATCTTTTTTAGTAATGCTAGGATTTTTTCTAACCATAGCACGAAGAACTTGAATTGCAATGGTTTGTGTATCACTATGTTTATGTTGGTATCTATTCATTACTGACTGAAGATACCCTGAATCATCATCATAAATCTCGACAATTTTTTTAATTTTTTCAGCATCAAAAAAATTAGATGAACGCAACAAGTCATCATCTTCTATATTCCTAATAATAAAACTTTAAATAATTTTAGCAACATCATTTTGTACCTAGAAGCTTCAGGAATTTCTTGATGCCTTTGGTTACTATACAAACAACATCAAATGCATATACAATCAGAATTATACTATTCTTACGTATATGAATCTGTAAGTTGATCAGAATCTCGTGAATTTTTAACTAGTGATTCAGTAATTTCAAAGTTTGAAATACTAAATAAATAAGAACATGTGCAGTAAACAAAATACCATGAGCACTATCCTAACTAACTTAATTTTGGTTTCAATGTCTTCAATTTCTTGAGAACGGTCAAAATCAGAACATTGTTCATTTGTTGGCTGGCGGACATTAACAACAGAAAGTCTCTATTATGTATAATAAAAGTACAAATTCAATTATTGTTGTAAGAAGTTGTTTCTAGATGGATCCGGAACTCTCTGTGTACTATTGTAATTATATATTATGTGTTTATTCAAGTGTATTCTAGAACAATCATGTAAAGTATTCTTGTATGTTATAGAACCTTCTGGACATTTATAATATCTATATAAGTGTGTTGTGTTAGTTGTGTTTTAGTTGTGAGTTTCGTGTTGATTAAGAATAAAGTTTGGTTAACAGATAGTTGGAGCGTCTGTTACATTTTTGGTGGCAGCGGTGCGATAGTTCTCAAACGGTTGTAGAGGAAAGACCCACTATTGTATCTCTGCAAGAGAGAGAGACTAAAGTTTATAGTGTCTGGTGTGACTGTTTATGTCGGATAACAGTCGAGAGAATCAAGGGCGGTATTCTCTACGGGACTTACCAAGACACGACTACAGAGGACAGTTGCGAGGATTACATATTTTCAGAGAGAGTTATACTTCAGTTGATACGGAAGACTGTACTGAAGTGGAAGAAAGTCTTATTACAGGAGTTAGTGATCCGATGGAGCAATTAGCGGCAGCTTTGGCAAGTTTAGCAAAGCTTCAGGAGGAGGCCCAGAGACAAGCTGAAGAACGTCGTCGAGAAGAGGAGCGACGGCGAGAGGAGCAAGCTGAAGAACGTCGTCGAGAAGAGGAGCGACGGCGAGAGGAGCGAGCTGAAGAACGTCGTCGAGAAGAGGAGCGACGAAGAGAGGAGGCCCAGAAACAAGCTGAAGAACGTCGTCAAGAAGAGGAGCGACGGCGAGAGGAGCGAGCTGAAGAACGTCGTCGAGAAGAGGAGCGACGAAGAGAGGAGGCCCAGAAACAAGCTGAAGAACGTCGTCAAGAAGAGGAGCGACGAAGAGAGGAGGCCCAGAGACAAGCTGAAGAACGTCGTCAAGAAGAGGAGCGACGAAGAGAGGAGGCCCAGAGACAAGCTGAAGAACGTCGTCAAGAAGAGGAGCGACGAAGAGAGGAGGCCCAGAGACAAGCTGAAGAACGTCGTCAAGAAGAGGAGCGACAAAGAGAGAGACATTATGAAGAGATACAGGCCATGCAGGAGCAGCATATGCAGCAAATAGAGATTATGAAAGGAGTTCTAGCAGAAAGAGAAGGGAATAGTCCTCATTTAAAAATATCACCATATCAAGAAACAGAGGATATCCAAGACTTCATTGAAGCATTCGAAGGTATTATGAAGATACAAGGGGTGAATCGGACAAATTGGATTCTACGTCTGACACCGTTACTAAGTGGCAAGGCTAGAACTGTTTGTACTGATCTGGGAACTACTACTGATTATGATGGAGTCAAGAAAGCTATTTTGGAGCATTATAACATCAACACA